AAAAAAAAAAAAAAGAAGAAGAAGAAGAAGAAGAACCTGTCGAAGGTGGTATCCAGTAGAAAGATATCAGGTCATTGGAGTCATACCCTTGAAAGGGATTCTGGAACCTCAGACCCTCCCATTTCTCTCCGCATTCTGGGCACTATGAGGTGAGCAGGCCTCCTCTTCCATGCACTCCCAACACGATATACTGTGTCATTACAGGACCAAAGCAACAGGCCCAAGCAACCATGGACTGAAACTGTGTTGAGAGCCACTAAAGCTGAAAATTGATCAGATGTGTGACAGCAGGACTAGGCCGCAATGCCTAAAGTAGTCAAGCTACCTCAGGCCTGAGAAAAGCATCCTGCCTGGTCAATATCAGCTAGCAGTCACGAGGCAACCTTGTGTCACGTGACACTAACTTTGCAAAGGTATAAACACCCCTACTGTTATTCTGGGGGTCATTTGCCAGTCAGGTGTGGTCCAGCCCTGACCCAGCTCTTGTCTTCTTGTCTATCTTTTCCTCATTCCTGCCACCATTGCTCCCCAGAGTACACTGAGAGACCAACAGAGTGCTACAAAACTGTGATCCAAAATAACCCTTTCCTCCACTAAGTTGATTACCTCAGGTATTTTATCCTAGTGGTGAAATAACAACAAACTATCTACATCCCTCTTGTTGGTGGAAGTAGGCAATAAAATGAGCTGCTTGATCCAACCCTAATTATTCTTGTACCACTGATCTGTGTAATCTGCTCAAAAGGACTGCAACCTACTGCACAGAAGCAAACTAATGTTAGTAGGCCTGAGAGCATTTATTTTTACTAATACCTGCTTGCAGAGTTCATCCATTACTGCTATCTGTGAGTGATCATTTCTTTTTTTTTGCAGAACCAGGGATTGAACTCAGGCTCTTACGTTTGCCTGAGTGATAATTTCAGAAGGACCTCAGGAATGTACGTAAGAAGTGTGGAACAGGAGAAAGAAACAACAGAGCAGGGTGGCACATGCCTATAATCTAAGCATTCTGGGAAGCTGAGGCAGGAGGATATTAAATTTGAGCCCAACTTGGGTAACTTAGTGAAACACTATCTCAGAAAGAAAAGGGTTTTTAAAGAGCTGGGTACACAGCTTAGTGAGCAGGCCCTGGTTGCAATCTCTAGTACCACTACCAAAAATTAACAACAGAACAAAACCTACAAAGGATATGAGGGCTGGGGTTGTGGCTCAGTGGTAGAGCATTTACCTATACTACAAACGGTCATGTCTGTATCTAGACGCTGCACACACACACACACACACACACACACACACGCATGCACATACACACAAAGCCTCAGTGGCTGGATCTAGAGCATGTGAAGCTCAGAGTGATTCATGGTGCAACGCTAGCTCAAGAGCACCAGAATGTAGGATGTGCGTACTGCCGGCACTGAGTAGCCTGGAGAAGACAAAAGAGCAGGAAAATGCTGTTAAGGTCCCTTGTTGTTTTGCTGTCTTCTGCATGCAATGAACTAATTGTCCTTCGAGATGCCTCTCTGTCACATGCCATTCCATCCTACAGCCAGCCAACCGTGGACTGAAACTTTTACGAACTGTGAGCAAAATAAACTTTTTTTCCTTTACCTTTAGGTATCAGGTATTTTTGTCTCAGCAATGAGGAAAGTAAGACAGAGATAAGCTTGGCACCTCCCCCAGCCTGACCTACAGTGATGCGTTCTGTACACACTGGCTTCTCCCAAACTGCAAGGTAAAGTAACTTGTCCTCTTTTGATAGACAACCCAGGAAGGCCTTGAACTCAAAGTGATCGTCTTGCCTCAGCTTCCTCAGCACTAAAATTACAGATGTATGCTACGAGTCCTGGTTTATTTTCTTTATTTTGAGACAGGTTCTTACTAAGTTGCCCAGGCTGGCCTCAGACTTGTAGTCCTCCTGCCTCAGCCTCTGGGTAGCTGAGAGTATGGGTAAGGAACACCACGCCTGCCTGGCCAAGCCTCAAGCAAAAAGCCATGAATTTGATCCTCTAGTTTCATTTGCTATCGAAAGAGGACCTGGGATATACCTCAGTGGCACAGTGTCTACTCAGCAAGTGTGAGGTCCTGAGTTCAATTCTTGGTACCCAACCTTCCCCCCGCCAAAAAAAAAGAACGTATAAAGACTAGAATGCATTCTGACAAGAAACGCACATAGCCAGGCGTGGCGGCACACACCTGTGATCCCAGCACTCAAGGGGCGGACGCAGGGGGATCACCATGAGTAGCAAAGCCAGCCTGGGCTACATAATGAGTTCAAGGCCAGGCTGAACTATATGGGAGAGCCTGTCTTAACATACCTGTGGCACGTGTCACAGGTATATCATGCTCAAAATGTAGGGGGAAAATCAAAGACAAAAAATACTGAAAGCAGCCTGAGGCTAAAAACCATTGCAATATAAAGAACAAAGCTGTGCTTAAATTGCACTGATTTTCAGAAACCATGCAAACAAGAAGAGAACACAGTGGACCTTTGACTCAGGAAGTCAATTCATTCCTGGCTGCAACCCAAGTCGTCAACTGAAGGCTCAGGCTCCCCCGTGCAGCCTTCAGTGTCTCTCTTGCATACAGGCAAATCTCAGGGTCCTTAGAGAGACTCAGGCCCAGGATTTCTCCACCCACACAGGAAAGGAGGTTGTACTATTCCTCCCAGAACTCCATCAGAAGGGCTGGAGAAATAACACAGCAGGTCTAAGCACCTGCCTGGCAAGTGCAAGGACCCAGGTTCAATCCCCACTACCAGGCATGGTGACACACACCTGTAACCCAGCGCTGGGGAGGCTGAGACAGGAGGATCACTATGAATCCATGAATTCGAGCTGCATAGTGAGACCCTTTATCAAATAAAAAAATAAAATACTGGGCCAGAGAGATGGCTCAGTGGAAGAAGCGCTTCCCTGGCAAGCGCAAGGGTCTGAGTTCAATCCCCGGTTCCACAAAAAAAATAAAATAAAATAAAATAAAAAATACTTTTTTATAAATTTAAAAATTAAAAAAGAACTCTATCAGGAGTATCTGAGACCATCAGGAAACACAAGCATTCAGGTCGTAACAACTTTGGTTCCAAGCAAAATACTAAAATTCTGGTCATAATCCAAATTGTATGTCAGGCCAGCCATAACGTGGGGGCCCACTGTACAGTAAAATATTTACAATAATAAAAGGAGAAAAACCCACTTAGAATGCTGTATCAAGCAAAATATCCTTTTAAAAGGAGGAAGAAGTCTGATGTAGTTGGGCCGAGCTTTAACCCCAAGTACTCAGGAGACTGAGGTAGGAGGATTACACGTTTCAGGCCAGCCTGGGCAACTTGCCAAGATTCTATCTCAAAATAAAAATTGAAACAAAGAAGATGACAGAGAAAACAGAAGACAAAGAGGAAAAAGAAAGGGGAAAAAGGAAAAGAAGTGGAAGAGGAAGACAAGGAGCTGAAGAGACAGGTGAGTTGTAGAGTGCTTACCTAGCACTATACGTGAAGCGCCAGGCTCAAGCC